TTATTATTATTATTATTATTATTATTATTATTATTATTATTATTATTATTGCATCTGAGCTGTGGTGTCCTCTTCCAAGCTCATGATGGTTTTGTAAGGTGTGACCAGAATGTAGGTCCCCATTCTCTGCCCATCAGGCCACTCAAGATGCCACCCCCATGTACTCTGCATCTCCTGTACAGATACTTGAGAGAGGCCCTGGGGTGGGGGAATATTTGGAGCTTGGTCAGGGTGATGGGCAATGGGCAATCACAAGTGTCTGTACTTGGAGAGAAGGTAAAGCCCCATCATTAGGCAATGGAATTCTGGATAAGTTAGCACAAGGGCCTATAAAGAATGTGTGGTTGTATGCAATTCGTGTCCCTCCTGGGTCGGAGAGTTTTGTGGGAGCCTGGCCTTGGTTTGGGCATCCTTGTCCTGCTAGGTGCTGTGGCCTGCTTGGGTCTCAGGGCTGCTGATGTCAGGGCCTTGACCCTGGGCAACAGAAAGTTGTGTGATTGGCTGGGTAGACATGGGAATGTGGACTCAAAATTGGCTTTGCCCAGAGGAGCTGGCCACTGAGGTCATCCGTCCTATCATGACCTATGAGTACCCAAGGGAGGAAGCACTTGTCCTGCATCATGGCTGGTTTAAGGCTGGGCAGCTGTCAGTTCCACTGCCAGGAGTCAGCTCCCTGGAGCTGAACTCATAACATGACCTTGGGGCTCCCTAGGAGAGGGAACCAGCCTCTCAGGGCTTCCATTCTCTTGCAGGGGAAGAGCCTTGCTTGGCAGTACTTAGTAGGCCAGTGGGCCAGAGCAAGCTCCCTGGCTTGGCCTCTTTCCTAGCCAAGGGAAGCCCTGGAAGGAAGCCTCTTGTTGGCTCTAAGGTCTCTGCCTGCTACTCATGGCCTTGGCTCCCCTTGGCAGTGAGACTGAAGACAGATATGCTCTTCCCAGATCTCTCTGTGGATCCAAAGACAGTCCTTACCTGAGGCTGTAGAATCAGAGCACAAAGGGATAGGGTGTAGAACATGAGGGTAGCTCAGCCAGGGGCCCTTTGCTCAGCCCTATGAGAAATCTCAACCCAAGTTTGTGTTCACGGAAGAAGGGTGGTCCTGAAGAGGAGCTTCTTAAGGGACAGGTGCAGATTTATCCCTGGCACGTGTCTGAGGCTTGTTCTGTTCCACGCCAGAGGAAGGCTGCAGCACATGGCCTCTCTGCTATGCTGGGCCTTTTTAGATTACCACCCCCAACTGGGCTTGGCTCCAGGTGGACTTGGTCATCACTTGTGGTCCCTTAACCGGGTCCCTGATGCTTCACTAAAGGGCATCTTTCCTGAGTCAGAGTAGTGAGATTCCAAAGAAGGCAGGTACCCAAGGATCTGTGGGCTTTATGGTTGGTCCCCAGCTTCAGAAGTGGTTTGGTTAAATCTTTGAATAAGTCTTATTTAAGCCTATTGTATGTGAAGTTGGCGTCCTATTTCTGGGAGTAGGGAGTGGCATGGAGAGAGTCCCTCTAGAGGGCTGCCCTGAAGGAGGCTGTGGTGAGGGTGGGCCAGGGACATCACTGAGAATGTAGAGGTGGTCCAGCAGATACCCATCTCTAGATGATTCAGTTCCTCTTCTCTGGGAATTGCACAAGCCATCTGGAGCCAGTTACAGGACCCCTGCCCCCACCTGATGCTTGAGTTTTCCCAGCTTCCTCAGGGTGTCCACAAGGCCTTTGGTGAGTCCCCATGGAGAGATAGTGTAAACATTTGGAATTGTCAACCTGGAGCATCGCCAGATGTCTTCAGAGTCTTAGCTACACATAAACAGATGGAGGCCCTGGGGACTGCTGGTGTATACCCTCCCTGTGTGGGGGTGGCTGCTATCCCCTCTCCCCGACACCTGTCCCACAGAATGGACTTACCACTGCTGAGCACAGTCAGCCCATCCCCACATCCAGGAGGGCCACAGCTGGTCTTTCCTGCTCAGGTTCAGCTCCTCTAATTTGTCAACAAGACAAGTGGCTCCATAAAAGGACAGATCTGGCTCGGCTGAGACTAGGAAGTCCTTGGCATCAGCCCCCACTGGGCTCAGGGACCAGTAAGTCTGATTTGATGCCTCTCACCTTGCAGGCCCAAAGCCACCACTCTGCTTTCTTGGTTTATCTTTTTGTTTTCAGACCTAGGCTGGCTTTGAACTTGCTATATAGTTGAGGATGACCTTGAACTCATGCTTCTCCTTCCTCCCTCTTTTGAGTCCTGGGATTATGAACCATACCTAGTTCCTATAGTGCTGGAGTTTAAACCCAGGGCTTTGTGCATGCTAGGCAATCTCCCTCCTGAGCTCTAGTCCCAGGCTCTGTCATTGCTTTGAGTTTGTTCTGCTTAGCAAATGGAAGGACCTCCAGTAAGGATGGGTTTGGTTGCTGGGAATGACAGCATATACCTATGATACCAGCACCTGGGAGGCTAAGGCTGGAGGATTTGCGCTCTGGGCTAGCCTAGGCTATAGAACAAGATATTGTCTCACTGAAAAGTAAACAACCATGTTCACTTTGGCCAAGTCTGAGATCCTTTGTTTCGGGATTTTGTTTAACTACATGTAGTTAAAGAAACAAAATGGCATGGCCTTTCATTTTAATTTGCGTGTGTGTGTGTTGGTATGGGTATGTGCAGTGTATGCCTGTGACTGTGTATACATACATGCAAAGGCCAGAGGTAGATATCAATTGTCTCTCTCAGTTGCTCTCCACTTTATTTTTAAATTTTTTTTTAAAAAAATGAATGTCTTAAGTGTCTGCCATATATATGCAGTGCCCTCAGCATCCTGAAGAGGGCTCCCCTGGAGTTAAGATAGTTGTGAGCTCAGCAATTGGCTAGACTGCTGGGGTAGTGAGCTCCAAGGATCCATCTGTCTCCAGTGATAGGTATAGGCCACCGTGCCTAGCTTTCTTTTATCTATTTATCCATCCATCTCTTTCTAGCTCTGTCTGTCTGTCTGTCTATCTATTTATCTATCCATCTGTCATGATACTGGGGATTCAGACTTAGGTTCTCATGCTTTATTGACTGAGCCAGCCCTCAAGCATGATGCTTTTCTGTACCTGAAGTATGTAAACACAGTGAAGAGCTGAATCTGCCACCCAGCGGCACAGCCTTTCTTTGTGTGAGCATGAGACAGTGTGTGAGTTTATTTCCGATAGGTCACTAGTTAATACAGCCCTGTAAGCTACAAAGACCTTTTTCCTGTAGTTCTGAGCCCCGGTGTACACGGTGCTGGATGGGGTGGTGAGGGGCAGGGCAGGAACAGCATGCCTCAGACGACCATGGGACCAGGGTTGGTTCCTCTAGCCACATGCCTTCCTTTTTATTCTGAGCTGGGGTGATCCAGGACTGGCCTCCTGTGAGATCCTGCAATGCTGCCCCGCTCTGCTGAACAACAGTGTGAGTGTGTATCTGGAAAGACAGCTGCTGTCTCCTGGGCCCTGCCAGGGCCAGTGGTTCCCCTTAATCCCTTCTCCACTTCTGAGTCCTCCCAGCTGCCTGTCAGAGGAAATGGGAAGTGGGAAGATGAGCCGCTTGGATGGGTTCTCTGTGTACATCGCACGCACAAATATTTCTCCTCAGCACATCTGTGTAAACATGGCGTTTAGCTTGCCAGAGACCAGGAAACCACACAGGCAGTGCAGATAAGGCTTGTGTGTGTGTGTACTTTGCAGCCCCTGGTCAGTTGAACCTCACCGCCCACCTCCTTAGCCATGGTGACCAGCCTGCCACAGCCTCTCTCTTCCACTTGAGTAGGCCTTTTCACTTGTCAGGACTAAGCCCAAGTTTGACAAGAGAGTTACGTGCTTTCAAAAGACATATTGGAGGCATGATGACTTGCATTATCTCAAGAGACTAGCCATTCCTACTTTCCTTTGCCTGGGAGATTAGAAAGGGACCTAGCCCAGGCCCAAGGCCTCCAGCCTCTCACTCCATTATTCCTGCAGTCTTGGGAACTAACAGGGAGACATATATATGCATGTCTCACATGTGGCTAGCCTGCACAGCATGCAAGTGTCCTGACGGGGTCCTGCAGCTAGCTACCCAAAGCCTGCCGCAGACTCTGGGTACCAGCCTGCAGGGTTCTTGTGTGAAATCACCCCAACCCCTCAGCACAGATTCTCCTAAAGTGTGCATGGGACTCAGAATGTTCTGGGTAGGTGATGGTAGGGAGACCAAGAAAAGTCTGGGTGGTGTTTTTTGAAGGAGGGCATCCAGAAATGGAGATCCCAAAGCAGAGAAGCCCTTCTTTCAAGACAGAGCCAATAAGCAATGGGAGGCCTTATCTCCTTTCAGGATTGGACATAGTGAGCAATAACGGCAGGATGGGACCTGGGCTCAGGAATGAAGGGAAGAAGACCTTTGTGTATCTGGTGATGTCAGCAGGGTGCTGGGCATCTAGGAGGAGGGACTGAATGTTCTGCTGGCTGGGGCAGGAGTCCTGACTACCCTCAGCCCACCTAGCTTTTTTCCTTAGCCTTCATCAGTCCAGCTGGGTGCCTGATCTACCCCTTGGTAGCTGAATATCATTCAGATGGCGAAGGCGGGAGTCCTGTTTGGGGGCCCATTCTTTTATTCTGGCAAATTGTGTGCTTTTGTGAAAGTTTTATTTGAGGGGAGCCTGTCGACCCCTGATCACTGGCTGGAATCTGCTATAACTTGAGATGCAAAGATAGAGTATGTCCCACCTCACACCACTGCCCATGAACCCTGTGAGGACTGACGGACCTCGTGGCTGACTGCTTTAAATCTATGGGCTGTTGTCCACCCTGTTTGGAAGCTGGGCTGGGCCTGTGATCTCAGATGCCCCTTTCCTTTTCCTTTCTGCAGGGAATGCTGATAGAGGGACCTCCTGGCCCGGAAGGCCCTGCTGTGAGTGTCTGGTTTTATTACCTTCTGATTTGTGGGAGGCACTGTGGGGGGAAGCTCCTGGGTAGGAAGCTAGAAGTTCCTCACCTTTGCAGATATCCAGGCCTAGAACTTCCCTGGCTTCTGGCTGCCCTCAGCTCTTTGCCCTGAGGCCATATCTGAAACTCTTGTCTTGATTTCATCTTTAATTCCAGGGTCTTCCAGGACCTCCAGGAACTACAGGTCCTACTGGCCAAATGGGTGACCCCGGAGAAAGGGTAAGAAGCCAGTTCAGTTCCAAGACCGCATGTGCCATGGGCTTGTCTGTACATCCTTCCCCTGCCTCGTCTGCACTCTCCCTTCTCCCTTCCTGCTCTGCCTTCTGTATTGTTTTTCACTGTAGAAATTACACTAAGAGCAACCACTGCTACCTCAAATTGCCCCTCTCCTTAGGGCCACCCAGTGTCTCCCCCTTGGGTCTTTATGGGGTTCACTCTCACCTGGCCCTGTGCCAGTAGTGTATAACCAACCTGGGTCCAGAAGCAGCCAGCAGTTGGCCCTCAGCAGTGGGCCTACATTACGTCAGTGGCCCCAAGCGACAGCCTGAAGGGCCCTGATGCTTCAGCTGTAACAGATACTGCCCTGGAGCCTGCATTAGTTCTTACATTTGCCCATCTTGTTAGAGATCAATATACTGGCTGAGGGCCGTGGGGGCAAGGTTTGTTCTGGATTGGATGTGAGCTGCTCCCTGGGCTGTGAGCTTCTGACACTTGGTGGTGGGGTGGAGTACTGTAGTTTGGGGGTTTCTGCAGCCCACCTATCCTCCCTCGTTCTCTCCCTCCCACTCTCCTTTCTTTCCTTCCCTTTTTGCTTGATCAGCTAATGAATATCATCACCAACAATCAGACAGCCAAGTTGTAGGCAAGGATGTACATGTGTTAAGGACGGGCATTTTGTTTGCCCCTGGTTCTTGGCCCAGCACAGTAAAGCATTTAAGGGGGAGATAAAAGTCAGATGGAGATAAAAGTCAGATGATAGGTGGCCACATGGTAAGGTGTTGTAGGCCCTGCTGGCCGGGGCCTCTTCAAGGCAGCGGTTGGGGGTGTCATGGAGTTTGGGCAATGCTGGGTAAATGGTAAGGTTAGGTGCCTGTAAATACAGGGAAGACTGGGAGGGGTTCTGGTATAGCCAGTTAGAGAATGACCAACCTCATGGGAAGGATGGAAGGAACAGGACATGATGATAGGTGACAAGCCAGCTTTTTGCCTTTTTAGGAAACACCATAAGTTGGACACTTACAGAGTGGGGCCAAGAAATGTTTTGTGAACCACCTAGGCTGTCAAAGGGACTCATTTTTGCAAGGCTAGATGACCCCTGAGAGAGGAGAAGAGCAGGCAGGGCCAGGCAGCGGGACCACTTGCCATGCTGTTCCTCGCAGCCTGGACTTTGAGCCCAGAGCAGGTGGCTGTGTGGAAGGTATGCAGGAGGCAAGAGTGACCAGCCCCCAGGGCCAGCAGGAAGAGCACACATCTGTGATGCTCAGGGAACTGAGTGCCTTTCAGGAATGTCCTCTCACTGGTTCTGTAAAACAGCAAGGCAAGATTGTTTTTACCAAAGACTCTTCTGGCCTGGGCTCTTCCAAACATGCCACTCTCAATGGTGGGTGTCTCTGCTGGCTGGGTTCAGTTTGGGGGTCTGAGTTCACTTTGTAAGGTGGTCAGATCTCTCATGTCTTCTGGCTCTGCAAGCCAGGGCTCAAGGAATGTTCCTGAACATAGTTAAAGTTACTCAAAATGGCCATGGGTCCTCCTTCTGGGTTTGTCCAAGTGAGTGGCTGCTCTCTCTTGCCCTCCAGTCTCTGCCCAAATTCAGAGCTGAGGACTAGGAGAAAGGATGAGCACCTTCCTCACTCAGCCAGAAGAGCTTGGGACTGCAGTTCTGTGTGGAGACAACAGTGGGGAGGGGACTTCTGCCTTTCCTCTCTGAATTCCTTACAACTAACTCAGCTCCCTCCCTCCCCATCCCCACAGCCCCCTATCATGCTGCTCCTTTCTAGAACATTTCCTGCCATGGAGTCTTGTGTTGCTCTGTGCCTGCTCTAGCCTGTTTTCTGTCCTCTCATTCTCATTGCTGCTGCTCAGCTATGTTCCTTTGTCTCTCTGACCAGTTTTCTTCCCTCCTTGCCTGTAGGGTCCTCCAGGGCGCCCAGGTCTTCCTGGGGCTGATGGCTTGCCTGGTCCCCCAGGAACCATGCTCATGCTGCCGGTGAGTGTTTTTCAACTTGGTGTCGGCGGGGGGGGGGGGTTGTGTTGTGAGGTCCTGGAAGGGGTATGTGTGTAAGGATCTGTGGTGGCCCAGGAGTGGACTGTGGGTTGAGGGTTGAGGGTCTTGGTAGCTGCTACAGGTCCAGGAGGAGAATGAAAAATACCACTCTGTAGGTGGGTCTCCCAGGGAAGCCTGCTGCAATGTTCTCTGTGACAATGGCTAGGTTCCCGTCTTCCCAAAGAATCAACTGCTGACTGTGGGTGGGAGAGAAACAACAGCTTCAGCGAAAGCCACCTTTGTGGTCAGGCATCATCTAGACACTCCTCGATGCTGCTTCTCACTGGAGTTGCTATTTAATCCTAAATCCTAAGAGTGAAGCCCAGGCTCACCTTCTCTGTGACAAGTGGAGGATGGCACTTCAGGCCAGTTGTTCAGAGATGAAGGACCTGGAGCTCAGAGAGTTGCTGAAGGCCAGCTGGCTTCAGGATTTCAAACCCAGAAGTTTCTTAGACATAGGTCCTGGTAACAAGTACCCAACCACTGCTGCTGGCATTGGGGTCTCTGCAGTTACAGGGGACCATGAAGGGAAGGGTACATGCCCTGGACTCCCGCCTATCCTCTGGAGAACAACTGGGGCCCTTGCAGAGGTGCCCTCAGGATGGAGGGCTCTAGGCAGGTCAGGCCTAATAAACTTGGGTAAGTGAAGCAGTCAGAACCAGGCAAAGGCAGAGCTGCCGCAGCCCCTCAGCCACTTGCTCTTAACTTGTCCTTGCCCCTCATCTCCCTCACTGTGCCTGAGCAGTGTGTTCTCAGGACTGGATTCATCACTGGCTCTCAGGACTGTGCCCTCAACACTGTGCTCTTAGTACTATGCTGAGTATTCCTGAGTACAGTACAGTGTTCCTGGGGCAGCTAGCATGAAGGAAGATGGGAAGTGACAGCTTCTGTTCCCCAAGGGCAGATGCTGAAGAATGTGACACTTGCTGCTCATGTTCACTTCCTGTGGTCTGAGAACAAGAGCACCAACTTCACTTTCCCCCCAAGATGCATGCTGCACTGAGGTAGACCCAATATGGAACTATGGTGTCCCTTGCAGATCCCTTGGACCCAGCCCAGTTTCTTTGGCCTTTGATTAGTCTTTGAAGTGATGAATGTCAAGGTGCAAAGCAATGAAGGCCTAAAGTCCTTTGTGGGCAGAGGCTGGGTTTCAGGTGTCCAGGGCTAAGACTGACAGGAGGTGCTGTGACAGGTGTTGACCAGGGCCGTGTGCACACAGGTTGTGGAAATGGGACCTCACTGTGGTCAGGGCACCACATTCTATCCCTGGTGACTCTTCTCCTTGCTCTTGCAGTTCCGGTTTGGAGGCGGTGGCGATGCTGGTTCTAAGGGCCCTATGGTCTCTGCCCAGGAGTCCCAAGCCCAGGCTATCCTCCAGCAGGCCAGGGTGAGTGATGTGGATCCCTGGGGACCCATGTGACAGAGCCTGGTCCCAGTGGTTGCAGAGACTGAGTGGTTGTCTCACAGCATGCTTGCTCAGGAACCTAGGGAAGGTTGGGTCCTTTATGTCCAGCTGGAGAATGTGGGGAACTTAAGGAGAGTTTTCAGGGATGTCCTGTTCTCATGAGGAGTAAGAGGCCTCTGAGTTTCTGTAGCTTGTCTGGCCCAGTGGACCTCTCTTCTGCCATGGGAAGACACTCACCTCTGTGCCAGGCCCTGCACTTGGGGTAGCTATGGGGAAAGGAACTGCTCAGGGCTCCAGGTGGGGTGCCGGTGGTTGACTCAGGGTCTCAGGAATGAAGTTGGGACTGAGTGCAAGAACACACCCTAGGAGAAAGGTCCCGGACTTGGGATCCCTCACTTGGGATCTGGAATCTTTCATGGACTCCCCAAAGCTCTTGCACTTGGTCCAGGGTCTCTCACACTGAGCCCAGGGTCACTTGGGTTGAGGGTCTCCTCCTTCCCAAGTGATCACATCAGCAGATGGCATCATTAGAGAACGTGGCACCAGATTGCTGATTGCCAGTGACTGGCCTGATGCTGCCACTGCCCGGTGGGGTGGGCGGATGGATGATGCTCTGTGACTTATTTATTTTTATTTTCTGTGAGTGAGTGTTTTGCTTGCTGGACCAGCCCTTCAGCCACTTTGCTCTTAACTATTGGTCCTCATCTCCCTCACTGTGTATGTCTGGTGTCCACAGAGGCTAGAAGAGGGCATCAGATCTCCTGGAACTGGAGTTACAGATGGTGGTGAGCCACCATGTGGGTGATAGGAATTGACCTTGGGTCCTCTGGAACACATGCTTTTAACATACTTTTAATGGCCATTTCTCCAAGCCCAGTTATATTTTGTTTGAATATTTTTAAATTTGTATACTTTTATCTGTAAATTTAAAAACTAATGTATATTTTATTATTGTGTGTGTATGGGTTGATTTGCATGTTGTGTGCATGTGTGTGGAGGTGAATGTCAGGTAGTTTTCTCTATCATTCTCTATCTTTATTTTGAGTCAGTGCCTCTCACTGAACCTGGAGCCCCCTGATTTGGGTAGGTTGGCTGGCCAGGAAACCATCTGTTTTTGCCTTCCCAATACTGGGATAGGGACAGGTGCTGGCACACCTGGCTTTTTACATGTGTTCTGGGAATCCTAACTCAGATCCTCATGTTTGCACGGCAAGCAGTTTGCCAGCTGATCTCCCTAGACCCCAGATAGTTTTAAAGTGCAAAATAATCTTCCCAAATCAAGATGGCACTGTGGCGGGGGTTGTAATCCTGCATCAGAGCAGCTCTTCGGGAAGACAAGTTGTGATGGCTGGCAGGAGCCACATCAAGTGTGTTGGGGGTGTCAGAGGCCCAGGGCCACAGGCTGTCCCATGCACCACATATACCTCTCTCATTGCTTGAGAGTACAAAGCGCCTCTTCTAGAAATGAAAGTCCAAAATCCACAAAAACAAACAAACAAAACAAAAAACCCAGAACAACAAACAAGCCAAAACCCGCATGCTTTGGCCCAGCCCTGGATGGGAGGGCCTGTTTCAGGTGTGGCACAGGGTGGGGGACAAACAGGGCTGAGAAAGAGGAAGGCGCTGGGGAGCCTGGCCACAGTGGGGCTGCGGGTAGCACTGACCTCAACCTCTGTTTCCTACTTCCCTGTGAAGATGCAGAGAGCCCAGAATTAGGTCAGTGAGACCTCCCCTGTGAACCTCCAGTCTTTCCTGTCCTAGGCCCCTTTTCCTCCTGGCCATGTGTCACAGAACAGGAGCCAGAAAAGCATCTCGGGGCCACCCATAGCCTTTTTCTGATCTCCTCCCCTTTCCTTTGCAGTTGGCGCTGAGGGGACCAGCTGGTCCAATGGGTCTTACTGGGAGACCTGGCCCCATGGTGAGTGATTGGCAGGTCTTGGGCCAGTTGGTGGAGAGCCTGGGTGTACCTTTGCTGAGCACCTTTGTCCCCAGTTGAGAGCCAGCTCGGACAGGTGGCCCCTTGGAGCTGTTCCATCCCTTTGTGGGAGAGCGTGTCAGGGGTGGCTATGTTCAAGGCCACTTGAAGTATTGGGGGATTCCTGGGAAACAGGCCTCAGTTAAGCATAGTGGGGAGGATGGGGGTGCTTCCTCCCCACCTCTGCGTTTGAGCTCCAAGCTCTCCCTGTGAAGGACACACTCTAGGCTACTCTCACAGGGAGCACAGCAGGTAGGGGGACTTCTGTGCCGGACATGTCCTCACAGGCTAAGCCCATAAAGCTATGTTGTCTGCACTTTTGGCTCGTGAGGAGTCAGCTTCTACGTCCTTTTGGGGTCTTCCTCCTTACAGTTCTATCCCAGGGTCAAAGGTAACCCTAGTGAAGGCCAACCACAGGGTTTTCAGTCTTTCCCTGCCTGGCCTAGGTATCTCACCTCAGCTTTCTCTGGGTCCTCACAGCACAGCATAGATGTAATGTATCCAGGGGCCCTAAGCTGTCATCAAAATAGCCAGATACATGCTTTGGGCACTGGGAGTAGGACCTGGGAAGGACATAGCCACCTTTTAGCCCTCCAAAGCTGAGGACTGAACCCCTAATCTTGCACTTGCTAGGCTAGTACTCTGCCACTGTGCTAAATTCTTATACCTTTAAGCCCCTGGCTGACTTTGCTCTATGCTATCTCCTACCCCCAGGTCTAGGCTCAGCCCCATGTACCCAGGAGCTTGAGGTCAGTCTCCCAGGAGGTCTTATCTTGAACCAGCCCATAGGCTATGCACTGTGCTCCAAGCTGGAGGCTGTCACAAACCATGGGCCAGCTTGTCCTGGGGAAAGAAACCTCTTATGATTTCGTGGCCTCTGTGAGCCCCATATCTTTGCGTTCTACTAAGCCCCAGTAGGAAACCCTGGCAGCTACAGGTCCATCTGCTTCCTAGAATTGTGCTTTTTCCTTCATCACAGTAGGCAGTCCAGCCTTGTGATGAGGGCTCCCTGCCTGCACCACACACAGTATTTCTGTGTCACTTGTCTGAATACACACTAATCTGGTTCTGTCTCCCTAGGGTCCTCCTGGGAGCGGAGGTTTGAAAGGTGAGCCAGGAGACATGGGACCTCAGGTATGTGTGAACCCACCTCTGCTTTGCTTTTAGGAGTGGGTGGGTGGGGGTGACTCCTGGTTGCTGGTGGTGGCCAATTGCTAGTATTTCTTCAACAAAAGCAGAAAAGATTGTTACCTGGTACTGTAGAACAACCTGTTTATGGTGTCTGTTTCTAGCCCTCACTTAAGGCAGTACCTCTGTGTCCTGTCCTCCAGGGGAACTGGAACAGCAAGCCTTAGGCTAGGTCGACATGCATGGGGACGAGTTTCCTCTTTCCTTAGAAGAGGGTCATGTCCTGATGCTCTGTCCTCTGACTTCTGGCAGGGTCCACGAGGTGTGCAAGGCCCACCCGGCCCAACAGGGAAGCCTGGAAGACGGGTAAGTGCTTGGTGCTAGGAGCATGTGGTATGGGGCACCATCCATGTCCAGACCTGAGGTAGCTTGTCCTCTTTTGAACCTCATGATCCCATACGCACCTCCAAAGCTGTGTCTGTGTGTTCAGGGGTGAGGTTGTCCACTTGTGCCTAAAGCCATCCCCCAGACAGGTCACAGCAGGGGTTGGAGCCACTTTATTGATTGTTGATAGTGAGCCTCGTCTTCAGAAATGGCTGTCTTGGCTCCTGCTCCTTCCCTCAGCTCACTAGCCTCTTGGGATTTCCCATGGAGAACGCTGTCCTCCTGAATGGATCCAGCTCATTTCCTCAGGAACAAGCTGCCATGGATGCCATGCTATTAAAAAGTGATGACCACCCTCCAGGAAGATTAGAAAAAGTCTTAATTAGCCCATCCTATTTTTAAAAGCAGACATTCTCATGTGTTGCATATGAAGATCAAAGCTACCACTGTCCACATGGCCTCTGTGCCTGATCGTGAACCCAACCCATGATCAGTCATCTATAGGAGACTGATCTACAGGAAAGAGGAGGCTGGTCTGTCTCACAGTGAGCAGGGGCTTGGCAGGGAGTCCCTGTACCTTGTGCCTCTCCCGTGGTAACTGTAGCCTTTATAGCAGGGTTTGAAGGTCCAGGCTTGGCCTTCAGTCCCATGGCAATCAACTGGGCACCCTGGGTTTGCTCTTGAATATTTTTCATGGCTGGGAAGCAAGTGTGAGAGTGGACACGGATGATTGACCAGCTCACCGTGCAGTACACACTCTGCCTCTTGGTTGCTGTGTTGTCTGAGTGGGACATGCACCCTATAGATCTGTCTCATACTCACTCAGGTGGACTAAGAGGCCTTGATCTATCCCACAAATCTTTGGTCTTTAGTTTTCTTCCCAGTGGTAGCAAAGAGCTGAGCTTCTTTGCTATGGCTGATAGCAGCATGTTGCTGGAACCACAAGAGCAAGCTCCCTGTACCGGCTCTCCCAAATCACATCATCCTCCCCTAGAAGGGCAGAGAGTATCAGGCTCCTGGGGCAAGTCCCAGTGAGACAAAGTCAGGGTAGCAAGTGTTGGCCATGGCATGGCCTTGGGGCTGTTAGATCTGGGTCACCTGTCCAGTCTGGTGACACTGGACACCAATCGCCCTTGGCTGGAGTGCTTTCCATGATGCCTCCCTCAGCTTGGTTTGCTGGGAAGCTGCTCTCAGAGGATGTGGCAGGCTGCCTTTTCTTCCATATGGAATGCTGTCTCCTCTGTTCCAGGGCCGTGCTGGGAGTGATGGAGCCAGAGGCATGCCTGGACAAACAGGCCCCAAGGTAAGCTGTCACCCATACCTCCTCATGTCAGGGAACCGCAATCACCATCATCCCTGATGTTATGTGGATGACATAACCATCATATTTGATGAGTGTGACTCTAGAGAGTGCTGACTCACTTGGAGAAGCCCCTCTGGTGTGTGTTGAGAAGATAGATGGACAGGTGAATTACACAGGTGAGAATTAGTCTCCTTAAAGTGGCAGCTTCCCTCTTCATGGGCAGTCAGTGAGGTGGGGTGGATACAGTGTGCAGGTAAGCAGGCTACAGCCTTGGTGGCATGGCTGGCCACATGATCCCAGGTCTATGGGACATGAGCTTTCCTGCCCTGTCTTAGGAAGTCAGGACCTGGCCTTGTGGGGGTGGGGGTGGTGACAGACACAACCTGCGGGTGAGCAGGCCTTCTGTGAGTGCACAGACTCGTATAGACGTGTGACAGCTGTTTTTCCCTGATTCTGTAGATCCTGGGTTCATCCCTTTTCCTGTGACCCTGTATGTACTCTCTCCCACATGTCTGGGTCACCAGGAACTGTCACTGTTCAGTACATCTGTGCTGGGTTCCAAAGTCCTGAATGCTTCTGTGAACCCCAAGTTAATGAACACAGAAGGCTGTGGATGACAGGAGGAAGAGAGTCTTACTGTTCTGTCAAGTAGTTCTGATGTTTTTAACTATAAAGTTATGAAAAGCCACAAACACTGTACTCTGATTTCATCCCACCTGGCATGAACACCACAAGATGGGAGGCTAGAGCCAGGGTTCCTTGCAGATGAAGATGCTGGGGCCTCCAGGCCTGAGTGTAACAGCCCCTAGGACACAAAGCTGCAGCCAGACAGTGTGACCACTCCTGCGGGAGGAGACTCAGCAAATGAACACATGCTGACTTTGCAGCGGCCACTGATAAGCTGCATGTCCACATCTCCAGGGATGCCCTGGCCTTCGGCTTGGGGACAACAGTGCTCCTCCCTTTCCAACCTTTGCCTTGCTTGGGGAGAGGAGGTGGCATATACAGACTCCACAGTGGCCGATACAGGAGGGCCATGCAGGGGCCAGGAGAAGGCCCTGGGAGGGTGCTGGGTTAAGGGTGCCACTAGGTCGTGCTGTGAGTGGGGTATTTGATGCAGCTCTCTTGTCCTTGCAGGGTGACCGTGGCTTTGATGGTCTGGCTGGGCTGCCGGGAGAGAAGGGCCACAGGGTGAGTATTTGCTGTGGGATTTGGGGAGAGTCTTTTTATTCTAACAGCCTCAGGCTCCTTAAGTGGGGCCAGGTTCCCCATTTCACAGTATCTCCACGTGAAGCTCTGTGGCTGCTTATAGAATTGACTCCCCCGAATGGAGTCTCCGTTGATGAGGACCTAGCCCAGTGATGTTGGGTTTTCTACCTGCAGTTTATGAGTTTATGAGGTGCCCAGAAGACACCTCACTGCGGGGCATCACAGGGAATGGGGATGAGGGAATATGTGTGTTAGAACTAGTTTTAGAACCCTCTAGAACCCACTTTCTTTCTGCGTAAGGGATGCTGCACATTCACAGGAAATCCAAGCAGATATCACATGCAAGCTGCAGTCAGGACACTAGGGCTGTGGCCTCAGGAAGGCGGCACAGCGTAGGGGCCTGCCGCTAAGGAGGCCTGGGCTTGGCCACCGCAGTGCCTGCCTGCCTTTCTCAGCCCTGGCTGACAGTGGATCCTCTCTAACCTGCTTTACCTTGAAGTGGATTGTCAGTCTTAGCATTGTTTGGGACATCCAGGCACACATGTATGTATATATGTACATGCACACAGGTAACTTCACAGACATACACACAAAGGCACAGGGACACGTTCCTCCATACACATATGCATATATACACATTCTTAGCCATACACATGTACACATATTCACAGTCACACACATATACACACATACAAACATGAAGACATGTATGCATGCATAGCAAACATCATCACATAAGAGCCAGATATACATGCACACGTTCACAAGCACATACACATACAGATATGCACAGACACAGGCATATAGTCACTCATGTGCATGTATGTACATGGGAGCACACATGTATGTAAACAGGTACACATGGACAGATATTCATACTCTCCCAGTCACACACACACAGGTAGACATGGGGTTACATGCATATACATTACATGCATGTGCATATACATATATGTACACAGAGATGCAACAACACAATCATGCATACACATAGGCAAAAGCATATACACACATAGAAACGTGGGCATAAAGTATGCAGATATGGGCCCTGCGGTGAGAAATGTCTGTGCTCTGTATACACTGGATAGTGGCTGCTGGAACTCACCCACAGCTGCCACTTCTATGCTCTCTCATAATTACATTAAAGCAAGCTCACAGTCACCAGAGGCAGTCTTTGTCTGGGGGGTGGGGGCGTGCAGTCCTTTTGACCAACTGATGAGAGTGTACTTTGAACGCCTGCTATAGGCGAGGCTTGGAACTGCAGGTTTGCAAGGTAAAATCAGCCCTGACCCTCAGGGATTCTTGGTCCAGGGTGGTCCTTTCTGTGGAAAAACACTGAGTGCACAATGCACCTGCATGTGTGTGGCTCCTGCTAAACCTACCAGGTGCTCAGTCTGATGGTTCTGACACTGACAGGCTATCCAGATGAGACTTGGGTGCTAGGCTCTAGACTGACCACTCAACATATACCCTCCAGGGGAACTAGCCTACAAGACTGAGAGTTAGAATTAATAGGACAAAGAAAGGGGCTGGGGACAGTTATGGGCAACCTGCTCTACAGTGGTTAACAGTGACCCTGATTGACTTGCTAGGGTGACCCTGGTCCTTCTGGCCCACCGGGACCTCCAGGAGAAGATGGAGAAAGGGTATGTATCTCCCAGCATCCTCTTCTCTGAGTTTATCCTGGACAACTTTGAGTGCAGGCCATTGGGGGTGGGTGGGGTGCTGGGTAAAGGAACTGTGCCTATTGGCCTAGGGAGGTAGCTGCACGCTTCTGAGACTGAAGCTCGGCACAAGCACTTGTTTTACTTTATCCTTCTTGCAATGAGGGTCAAACTGTCATGAGTTTCAGAAAGGAAGCCTCTAACTATAGGAGGCAGGTGCCCCGGATCCCGTGGAGGGGAGATGCCAGGGGCTTAATGAGCTCCGCATCTCTGCTGATCTCATCTAAATGAGGTGTCAGAGGGAGAAGCAAGGGCTCTGGGAGAGAGGGTGAGGGGGTGGAGGGAGAGGGAAGTCATTATCTCTGGCCCCAGAGGTAGGGAAGGGTGAAGTAAATGAATATAGGAACAGAGGAGGGAAGGAAGGGCTGGAGTCGGGCTTCTTTTCTGGGCTTCTGTACCCAGAGGACTCCTCAGTGTCCATCCTGAGTCTCCTTAGGGGATGGGGGCTGAGCTCATAGGCCACAGCACAGATGTGCATGGCAGAGAACGAGTGATGGGCTTTATGGTCTCCTTGCACTATTGCTGGGAGCTCAAGAACCCCAAGAATGTGGGAGAGAGGCACTGTCCTCTCCAGATTCCAGACTTTGCCAGGGAGCTTCCCCTGTCTGGACCTTGGTCCAATCAGCTCTAAGCTGAGGAAGCAGAGGGGTGCTTTTGGAGGCCCCACCCTCTTGATTTAGGAAATGTGGGTTCATATGCATGCTCTTGTATACTCAGCTATCTATCTTTTGTGTGTACATATGCTCTTGTGGACATATGTGGACATACAGCACGTGCATACGTGTATACTGCTGTGTATGCAAAAATGTAGCCCTAAATGTGTGCGTATACACATGTGTGCCTATCTGTATGCATGCTATATGTGTGGCTGCAGTTATTGAACGTAGGCACACAGGAACACAAGTGCACTCCGGTTGTGTAGGAGTGTGTCTGTCTGTGGGTGAGGAGGGCAGGAGAGCTGAGCTGTGTGAGAGGAAGCGGTGTCCTGGCTCGTGGCCCCAGCTGTGACCCAGTGGAACCAGAACAACCATCCCATCAGGAGTAAAAAGCCACTGGCTGGTTTGGACTCTAATAGGCCCTGCATTCACTGCAGTGTGCGTGGGGCTCCTCTGCCTCTCCTCTGATGCCCTCGTTGCTCAGTTTCTGATACTCATGAGGGTGGCCGAGGCCTTGAACTCAGAAAGTGTCTGCTTAAGTGCCCTTGCTGCAGCTGTGAATGTAGCTGGCCATCAGTGCTGCTTCCAAGCCTCACTGTTCCATGCAGCAGCTGCACTCTTGCAGCAGTGAAGACAGGGACCTGTCCCCTGGGGCCAGCATTAGCAAATTAGCATATGCCTGAGGAGCGGGCAGAATCCTGTTGTATGGTATGCAGGGATGACCTCTGGGTATCTAAGCCTCAAAGCTTGTCTCTAAACATTCTTTTCTTTTTCCTCCATAGGGTGACGATGGAGAAGTTGGGCCCAGGGGGCTGCCTGGGGAGCCTGTAAGTCACTGGTGGGTGGGACTCCCAGTCTCAGCTTCACAGTCAGGAACTGAAGGATGTGAAGTAGATTAGAGAGCTTGGTCTGGGGAAGGGGGAAAGTGACATTTACCAGGGAAAGAACGGAGGGAGGACACGAGGGATTGGAAAACTTTCTACAGGAAGAAGCTGGGCCCCGGAGAGTTGTAGCAAATGCCCATGGCATCATAATTCCAGGGGAATTATGCCAGGTGCCCAAGTGCAACATGAAGCACATTCAGAGGGTTCATGGTAGACATCCATGTGTGTCAGAGTAGACAGGAAGACACAGTATAGCATGTATTCTGCCAGAATCATAGCAGGCGCCTAAGTAAGCTGGTGGCCATCTAGGGCATCGTGGTAAGTGGTAGGTGAACAAGAGGCCATGGCAGGCACCCAAGCCGCGGTCACAGTGGGTGCTGGGACAGTCAACTGAATAGGCCCAAGCTTGCCCCAGGCCTGGCAACTGCACCCTCCAGGGTGGTGCCAGGCCCGATGCTGGAAAAGCTGCCTTTTGACAGCCAACTTGTATTTAGGCTTAAAGCAGATTTCCACAAGGGCAAAAGGACATTAATTACCCTTCATTTACTGATGCTCAGAAACCTACCTTCGTTATCCAAGTCAGACAGCCGTTTGTATCTGTGAAGCTAATTGATGAGCTATGCTCATAAATGCTGCGCAGGGCAGAGCGCGAGGTCGGCATGCTCAGGTTCATTTGGGATGAAATTACACCCTAGATGACTGATTAGCCACTGAGGAGGATCCATCAGCGCTGCTCTTCTTAACACACATCTAAGTGGTGTCTTCTGGGTTATTAGCGTCTCGAAAACATTTTTAAGTCTACGTATTAAAATAATGAAGGAAGTGCTTAAGACACAGAGAAAAGGTTCGAGGAAAGGCTGTTTTTTGTTTGCTTGTTTTGATTTTTTTTTTCCATCTAAAAAGGTTCTGTCAGAATTGAATCAAGGTCACTTGAGATCCAAGTGTCCTGGGTGAAGCCTGTAATTCCCAAAGTGGATGGTTCGGCTAGAGCCCCATATCCACCGAAGACATGAGTGGTGCCCCATGCCAGGCACTCATGCACAACCCTTCAATGCCCAGGGCAGGGGAAAACTGTGGCTCTCCCAAGTGGCTGTCCCCAAGAAGGCCCTGAAGTTCCCTGCAGGCCTCATGTCTTCTGAACCTGTTCCTTGTTCCCTTGAACCCTGTCATCCCCAAAATGACGACATTACACGCCACTGGGGAGAGAGATTGAGGGAAGACTCAGGGATAAACATTGGGTCCAGCGGCACAATGTAATTTCATGAGTTTTCCGTGGAGAGATTTTAGTGCTCACTTTTCTGAGTGTTAGAGACAGGCAGGAAAGACCCCTTCCCTGAGGACAGCCCTGTTGCCCAGCTGAGCCCCTCCGTATCAGGGACTCCCTGCTTCCGATTCCATGTCCAGGTAGAGAGGAGGGTGGGATAAATGAACATTGGCTGTGATGGAATCTCTTTCAGGATTCTGGATTCACCAGCTAAGCTCTAGTGGAGCACAGGGTACCGGGTGTGGGTTGAACAGGGCAGGCAAGCGGACAGGCCTCCATCTGGGTTTCATCCTTACTTGTCTTTTCTTCTCACAGGGACCACGTGGTCTGCTTGGGCCAAAAGGACCTCCTGGCCCTCCTGGCCCTCCTGTAAGTTCTGTCACCTCTTGGCATACGTGTCCACGTTATGGCCCCAGAAACCCTCTGAGCCAGCTAGTGGGTGGAGCCTTGGGGCCAAGCTGACCTTAGTGGACACCAGCTGTAGGTGTGAGGGGCTGTGGGTCATTCATGCTCAGAAACGAAGAACCAGAAAATGGATGTGGCTGAGGCAGTTAGCCCTGCAGCTCTCCTAGACTTTTCAGCCTCCTTTTCTGACACAGCACCTGCTGGTTATTTTTATTTTTCATTTATTTTTTCCTGTCATAAGCAATGCCTCAGAATGCCACATTGTCCCTCTGCTTGAGAGACCTTCCCAGAATCTTTTTTTTTTTGGGGGGGGGAGTTCTGGTAGGAGGTAGAGGCTCATGGTTCTGATTAGGGCTCTATTTTGGTGGGTCAGATTGGCCCTACCCTTCTCAAACCCTCTGAGACATTTTTCTAGATGAGGGTCTTCTCCTATGAGGGTGCTGGGGCCTGACAGCTTAGCTAGCTTACGGTGAAGGGTTAGTATCCCAGCTGGAAGGGGTGGAGAGTCAAGTCTGTCCTTTCCCCAGAGAATATACTACCATGTGGTCACCTTGGGACCGTGTCCAAGCATGAGGAGTGGGGTTGCTCATTCTGTGTGGAAACACATCTCTTTTCTTTCTAACCCTCCTGCAGGGTGTAACCGGTATGGATGGCCAGCCTGGCCCAAAAGGAAATGTGGTGAGTCCCAGGGGTCACATGACCTGGCTTTTGGTGATGGCCTGTGGACACAGCCTATGCTGCCTCAGCTGGAAATTTGGGTAGGAGAGTGGACCTTAGCTTCTGGCCCACGGCCTGGTGCTGCCCTCTAGTGGCAGAGCCTCGTGCCAGAATCCCAAGTTGGTATTTGTTTTCCAAAGTCAGCTCAGCTAGGAGTCAGAGGTCATTCCACCAGATGAGTCTGTTAGCTCTGTTTATTTCAAGGGCACACAGAATATTTCCTAGTCAGCCTCTGTCATGCTTTCTGCCTTGAAGGACATCAGGGTGCTTGGCGTAAGCCCACATCCCCTTTACAGAAACAAGTCGTTAATCCTATGGGTGTAAGGATCTATCTGCCTTCGGTGGCAGCTCCCCTTTTCCTGAAAGCTGTTCCCAGACATCGATTCCAGGGGCTACTGGTAGACAGTCCAGTGGAGGGAAAGATAAGATGTGGAAATGGAATTCTTCAAAACAGGGTGTGGTTCCTAGGCCCCCTTCTCAGGGCCTTTGCTTCTGTTTCCTATAGGGTCCCCAGGGAGAGCCTGGACCCCCAGGACAGCAGGGTAATCCTGGTGCCCAGGTAAGTGTCCTGGGAAAGGTGGCTTGGGACATCAGGGGTGGGGCACAGGTTTCAGTCAAATGTCTGGGAAGTAGAGACTTAGCTCTGCCACCAAGATGGTTGGTACCTGGATGGGGGCATAATCAGTGGGAAGATGGTGGAATGTGAGGGCGGTCAGTCTTCTCATTTCTCTGTGGGTTCTACCTCCTAGGGTCTTCCAGGTCCCCAGGGCGCCATCGGTCCTCCAGGAGAAAAGGTAGGTGGGATGGACAGACATGTGCAGAGAGGCTGCCTTGCCCATGGGCCATACTTCTGACCAGGCCTGGGGGATCTGCTGGCCTTCCCTAGCAGGCATGCGTATCTTGCTCCCCAGAAGGCCCTGAAGTTTAGCCCCTAGGAACGAAGCATGTCAGCCTCAGGAAGGATCTTGAATCTTTCTCATTAGTTGATTCATAGATTCATCCACCCATTCACTCTCCATCTATGTGTGGAGGAGTCAGTTCCAGCAATCCTCAAAGCAGCACACACTGCTGAGTGTGAACTAAGTTCCATTTAGCAGAAGATTAAATTGGGCATCTTATTTTGGTAAATTCGACACATAGACTTCTAACGCTTACCATGTGCTGGGCCACTCCCCTTCCAGCAGCATCACAGAACCCAGGCATGGGTTGGGTTATTTCAGGAAATGCAAATGGTGTAGGTCTTGACCAGCAAGAAGCACAACAGGGTGGTTCCGAGGGCATCCAGATCCTGGGAGAGCTTGCTGAAATGCAGACAGGCAGGCTGTGCTTGGCCTGGGCCTTGTTGAGAATGTTATGGGATGGTGGCCTGGTGGCCCTGTGGTTGCCCTGCTGTGGGAGGGATTCCGTGGATGCTGCTGGGGAATCTGAGGAAGGCGCTGCGCCAGGAGTAGCTTCAGAAGGTCCCAGGACTGCAGCATCCGCTCAGCAGATGTGAGGGAGAAAGAAGACGGGGGCAGGGGTGCCGCCATAACACAGATGCAGGTTCTGGTGGGGGGGCACCTCTTTGGCTGCAGGCAGAACTGAATGCTGGGAGCAAGGGCTGCAGCAGGCAACCCTGAGTGACACTGGGTATTTACTTTAGGGACCTGTAGAGAAGGGTCAGGCATCCCAGGAAAGGAGTAAACATCAGAGGTATTCTCTCACAGACTGTCTGGTTTGCACTAGGGTCCTTTGGGGAAACCAGGTCTCCCAGGAATGCCCGGTGCTGATGGACCCCCGGTGAGTACTTCCCTCCCCCACCCCTGCTGCCCTGTTCTTCTCTCTCTAGGAAGCCCTTCTTCTCCTCAGAGGGGAACTGGGCCCTGAGCCTGTGTGGGTGAAGATCATGTGCCCTGGTGTTCTGCGCTGAGTGATTTCTAGATTCTGGACAAGTTTTCATACCGTGTTCCTGTCACTGAGGGGATGTGACTACACAGAGGGAGCATTACCTACTTGTTAGGGTGTGCAAATTACTCCCCAGAACTCAGCCTCATGTTTGAAGCTGAGGAGTGCTGGGCTGGGCTCCAAGCCATCACACCTGTCACGGGTGTGGGAAGTGAGGGGCAGGGTGTGCCAGGGGTATTTTTAGTGCTCACACATCGAGTTTGGGGGTGGTGGGGGTGGGTAACGTGTCTGCAGTGAGCGCTGCTGGGAGCCAGATTAGACAGCGCCTGGAAATAGCAAGTGAGCGACAGGTCCAATCTGGGAGCAAGCTGTGCAGAAAGGGAGGAGTGGAGGGGAGGAAGCAGTTAGGGAGGTGTGTGTGTGTGTGTGTGTGTGTGTGTGTGTGTGTGACAGAGAGAGAGAGGGAAGGAGAGTCTGTGTGTCTCTGTGTGTGTTTCTAGCCACAGCTGCCACTCTGCCTCAGGATGTTGCTGGTTTGAGGGTTTTTTTAATTTTAAATTTAATTTAAATATTTTTAAAGTAACCTATTAAACCCACCCCCTCCAGTTTTTGCCCTTCCCCCTCCCACTGTTCCCTTCCAGCGTCACATGCTCCTTAGTGTTTATTGAAACTGAGAGGACGTATCTCAGAAAGCAAGATGAGATACATTAATTATTTATGACAGTTTCGTTTATTGTTTTAATAACACCATTAAAAACTAAATATGGTGGGTGGAGGGGGCTCAGAAAGCGTCCCCGTGATTATGGTGATTGCTGCACAAATGTGGAACCACTGAGCAGATCCACAGAACCCATGTAAATGCTGGGTGGTCATGGTGTGCATGTGTAGTTCCAGCTTTGGAAAACAGACGGGACTCACCACAGCAAGCTGGCTAGCAAGACAGTTATGATGGCCATGTCTGGGTCAGTGAATGAGCTGGAGCAGTGATCAAATGATGACTTGATATTAGCCTCAAGCCTCCATGTGCTCACACACACATATGTGTGTTCACCTACATGTTCATGTTTACATGTTCACCTACATGTAAACATACTTATACACACACACATGTACACCACACACTAATATGCAAAAGTAGAAAAAGAAAAAATAAACTAGATGGGGATGTTGCGTGTGCTAACAGCAACTGGGATGGTTCATTGTGAGCTGTCAGCTCTACTGCAAGCTAAGGCCCACGGTGAATCCCAGACCCCAGATTATTTTTGATTGTTCTGAGCAAACAAGTGTAGTCACTCCCGTCTCCACGTGGACATGCTGGGGAATTTAGGAGCTGAGTGACTGGTATTTCCCAGTGTGCCATTTCTGTCCTTTGTCTTTATTATGTGTTGCAAAAAAAAATGATGGTGCAAATAACATTTTCTAATAGACACTGAGCTCAGAGAAGCGGCAAGTAGATGGCTCCCTCCCATCCCCATTGGCCAGCACTGGTCACAGGACCATAGTTTCCTCGTGTCTGTTTCCTGCAGTAGGTGATGCCCACGGATGGAGGTCTATTGCAGTGTGTCACGTATATCCTGCAGTGAGGAGAGAGTGGCTGATCCTTTCCACTACCAGACATGCCTCTGGCCTCAATAGACCTGACTGGTTCTGGCCCGGAATTCCTGCCTCCACACTGACGCTCTGTCAGTTCCTGAGTGTGGTCTCCTTTTACACTTTGTGGGTGGGACACCAGGAACCCGCTGGCCTGTAGACTCTCCTGGCTGTATTAGTTACATTTCCTATTGTTAAGACAAAACACCTGACAAGAACAAGTTAAGGAAGTGTGTGTGGGAGATGTGGCTCACAGTTTAAGAGAGGCGCAGTCCATCCGGGCAGAAAGTCATGGCACAGAAGCTTGAAGCAGCTGGTCAGAATCCTGTCCACAAGAAGCAGAGAGGGATGCTATTGCTCAGTTCATCTTCTTCTTATTCAGTCCAGAACCACAGCCCATGGGATGGTGCTGCCTGGACTTGGGGAGTCTTCATCTCAGCCTAGTCTAGATGCTCCCTCACAGGCATGCCCTGAAGTTTGCCTCCCAGGTCATTCGACATCCTGCCAGGCCCAATACTGAAGCTGGAGAAGGGCCCTAAGACAGCAAGTGGGCTGGGAAGAAATCAGGGACCCTAAACAGATCCAGCTGTCCGAGTTTGGAGGGGGGAGAAGATGGATGGCTTGCCTTATAAAAGCAGCTCACTGTTGATAAACCTTGAAGAGGCTAGCTTGTGCTGAGGCTGTTTTCCTCTAGTATTTATTTAGTTTTGGTTGTGAAGAAAGAGTGATTGACAGGCCAGGGAGATGGTTCAGTTAGGAAAGTGTTCAGCCCAGCGTGCATAGGGAGGCTGGGCATGGCAGCGCAGGCCTGTAATTCCAGGGCTGGGAAAGTGAAGGAAGGAAGATGCCTGGTCCTTCCTGGCCAGCCAGTCTAGCAGATGATAGAGTTCTAGGTTCAGTGAGAAACCCATCTTAAAGGTTACAGTGGGGAGCAATTGAAGAAGACACCTGATACAAACCTCTGGCCTCCACATGCACTCACACACGCATATACATGCCCATAAGCATGCACACACATGGAGGGACAGACGGAGAAGAGTGAAGGGAGAGGGCATGGAAGAGGGGGGAAGAGAGAGAGAGAGAGAGAGAGAGAGAGAGAGAGAGTTTCATGTCATACCTAGTGCTCTGAAATGTGATTAATTCCCCACAGCACACAGCAAAATGATGGGTAAATGGAGCCAGTAAAAATAAAATGTGAACGAGCACCCAAGGTTTGGAGAAAGTGCTCACGATCCAGTATTAAATGCAGATCGTATTATACCTGCCCATTTTGTATGCACACCCTCAGAGAAAATGGATTGGAAGCCTGTGCCCCCGACCAGCCTCGTGGCTCTGCACGGTGGGCTGTGGAGGAGTTTAATTTCCTTTTCTGCTCTTCTAATTGTCTACAATGAGCATATATTACTTTTTTAATCAGAAAAATATCAAATACAAATAATTTAAGCTTCATTATTTTTCCATTATGAAGGAAACATTCACTGTAAAATATTGGGGGAACGTACAGTGGCAGAGAGAGAGCACAGCCTCGCCCTGAACAGCGGGAAGATTTGTCAGTGTTGCATTTTTTTCTATTCTCCTCAGCCTTGTAGTTTAGAAATGAGCTCTGTGCCTCCCCACTGTAGTTGCTTCTTTCTAGAACACAGCTGAGACCATCTAAGGCATCTGGTCAGCCATGGCAATGGTATCCACCAGCTCCCATCGATCACACTCTGCTTGGTGCTTGCTGAGCACCTAGGGACTCTCCTTGCTGTCTCTGAGGCCTTCTGTGGTGTGAGCACGTGTGTTTCTAACATGTCCCTGAAGGAGTTACACATGGAGAGGGCATCTGGTTCCACTAGTGCCTCTCACTGCGTGTGTCCCAGAGATCCTGGCTTATGACCTCCCGAGGTGCCCACCCACCCTGGGTCCTGAGCAGATTCATGTCCATGGTGGGTGGGCACTGAGATGAAGACCACAGGTCTTGAGATGGGACACCCCCTCCTTGCTACCTGAGATTCAGCCTCGGGTTGAGCATGATTGTAATTTCTGGAAGGCAGGGGTGGGTCCAGCTTGTTCCCAGGGCCAGGGCAGCAGGCACAGTCCACCAGTGGGTGCCTCCATTTTCCTTCAAAGTCACTAGGCTCCTGCATGGGGACTTCGTGTCCCAATTCACGTGCTAAGCTCTTTATGAAAAAAAGAAATCAATTATCCAACTAAGAGAAGCAATGGAGCACACGTTCAGCTGTTCCCCTCTAGAGAGAGGCCCCCAATATTCAGCCCACTCAAGCTAGAACTTTGTCTCTTTTGTGGGTCTGAGGAAGTGTGGGGCTTGCCCAAGCACGCATGAGAGTTTCAATGTATCTAAGGTAGAACTGAGCCCCTCTCCCATTGCCTGGCCTCTATTTACTGGAAAGAGTATTGGTGAGCACAGCCTTTTTGCTTTCCTCTCTACCTGTGGCTCTGTGTTTATGGCTTGGGGCTCTAACCCTGGGGTCACTGCAGAGAAACAGAGCCGATGCTGCACTGTGGGGCGTGGAATTAGCCCAGGTGGAGGTTGGTGGGGGAGGACACAGGTCCTCTGCAGGGTCACCTCTCACTTTCCCTCACTTTCCCGGGCTCTAGGGACACTCTGGGATGTGACTGAGGAAAACTAAATGTTGGGGCATTTAGTCAGGTGACAAGAGGGCACTGTTTCTGCCCTACCTGCCTGCCCTCAGTTTCCTCAAACTGTCAGTTTCTGTGTTTGGCATGCATTGTGGCCCTTGTTGGTCCTGGGACTCAGAACCCTGAAGTCTGGTCCTAGTTTATTTTCCTGAAGGTTCATTTGGCTGCTGTGACCTTGAGTGATGCCCTCGTGTCTCTTTTGGTCTAAGTCTTCCCTGAAGGATGGGCTGTTCTCAGGGAGGTCTCCCACGCACTGTCATCGCCACACATTCATGTCCCTTCCATGATCGGCCAACTGCAGGGCCACACTGCTTCTTCCCATTTTGCAGATGAAGCAGCGGAAGTCCAGGGACTGGGAGTGGCTTGGATGTCTGTGCAGACATCCTTGATTTTCATTTCTTTTTCCTGGAGAGGTCAGAGCTGGAGGACTGTGATGCAAATACTGCAAAGGTGAGAGTCCTCTTTCTGAGCAGGTGGCTAACTCATGGAGATCTTCTCTCTTGTGACAGGGGCACCCTGGCAAAGAAGGTCCTCCAGGAGAGAAAGGAGGCCAGGTAGGTACCCACTGCACCCTGCCCCAGCAGTCAGTCTCTGTGCAGGTTTTCCAGGCAAGGGGGAGGGGACAGTGCCTAGACTGTAAGCTCCGGTCAGTCACTGGGAAGGTCTTTTGACTGTTGAAGGATGTCATTTCCATGGACAGGATACGTTTGTTCCCCTCAGCTGAAAACTGCTTCGTCTCAAGGTCCCTAGGATGGAGACATGTTTCTTTAGTGACTTGTCTTTTCTCGACCCAGTGTTATTTCTTTATGCTACATTGCTACCTCTCTGTCACCCTGTCCTGGCCTCCTGGAGATGGACACAACATCTGACTGTTCTCAGACATTTTTGCTTTTCGGAAGGCACCACCTGCTGCCTCCATCATGAGCATCAGTGTCAGTGTGGACCACAGGCATATCCCACAAAGCTGCTTCGCGGGGTCCCGTGAAAGTTGCCCACTTACTCAGACCGGAAAGTAGCTAATATTCTTTCCCTTTGGTTTTAGGGTCCTCCTGGCCCCCAGGGTCCCATTGGCTACCCGGGTCCTCGAGGAGTTAAGGTAAGAGGGACTCTGCAACTCTGGGTCTTCCTGGAAGTCAGGATGGGATGCGTGTATGGACCTGGCTGGTTTCTGGAAGTTGCTCTGTGGTTAAAGCCTGCTCCAGGCACTCTAGAGTAGCCTGGCTCCCTGGTTCCGTATGCAGATGCTGGTACCCTGGATGGCAGGTCTAAGCAGGTGAGGCTACTGCTGCCAGCAAGGGGACAGACTGACATAGGGCAGGGGACTACACCCTACTCAGCCTGTGAAGAAGCAGGGGCACTGTACTGGCTACCTTCTTGTGTTTACCACATGTCCATACCAGGCTGATCTCAGGAGCCTCTCATGGGACATGGATCTCATAAGGGAGAGGCATGGCCAGCAGGGGGAAGGCCGGAAGCAGTCCTTTAAGCCACTGGCATGTTGATAGAGGGAAAAACCAGTGTCTCCTCTCAAATCCCCAGGAGGAAGGGTTCATGAGAGATATCCATTTGTTTACAATCATCTTTGTGCTGGTACAAATTCCTGGAACCTTGTTAAGTGGGACACAGAGTGCCAAAGCAATATTGAGAGCAAGTTCCCCTCTGTCCCCTCAGCACTAACTGAGTTTGCTCTGAGCTGCATGATTTAATCTTGAGTTCCGAGGTTCCCAGGGAGTGTGGACTGGGTCTCTTCCTTCTCCATAACAGGGACTTCTCAGCATCTCAAAGCTCCAGGCTTTCCACCAGCAAAAAAAAAAAAAAAAAAAAAAAAGATAGCAAATTGACATGGATGGAAACACAGAGCGTGTTTCCCTGAGACTGTGCAATATATACAAACACACCCACAAAACAACTTTTTTTGTTGGAAGAATTTTTATAAACATGGCCAAGACCACTGGCCTCACTCATGTACTCTGTGGTGCTTTGTCTCTGTCCAGCATTGCTGCAGACCCAGAGTGCAAAGCTGTCCTGGGGTGTGGAGGGTGGAGAACTCACAACCTCAGTGTTCAGAGACTGTCCAGAACCTCACCAAGCATGCTACCCCAGTCTAGACTTGAACCCAATGGGCCCTGTTTCATGTCTCACAAGTCTAGACATCCCAGTTCAAGAGCAACCTCTCAAGGATGGCAGCCTTAGGCAGGTCAGGCTCCTCCTCAAGCATGCTTTTCCTAGCAGAATGCCTCATGAATGCTATAAGGGTGATAATTGAGCAGCAGTGCTGATTATGGGAGCTCTATTCGTGTTTATCTTACAAATTCCTGTCGCCTACCCGGAGCCTTTGGCAAGCTCCTATACATGGCTAATTGCGTAAGCCTTCCTCTGCAAGCTGAAAGGTGTTTACTTTGAAATGTTTATGGAGAATGCTCTTATCTATCTATCTGATTAAAATTCACTCATGACATGAGCAATCCAGTGAGACTTGGAAGCAGAGGGGAAAGCAAGCTTCAAGACAGTCTTCACAAGAGAAAGAAATATTCCTGATCCTGTGTTCTTGAGAAGTAGTGTTGGCCACCTAATCAGTCTGAGTCCCATGGGCACAGCAGAAGTAGGTGTGGGAGCTGTCGCAATTAGGGGAGAGGGATGAGATAGGGTTGTGTCGTGGCCTATCTGTCTGCTGTAAGAGAAACCCCATGATCTGGGGCTTTGAAATAGAGGCCGGAAGCCCAGGGTCAAGGAGTAAGTAGACTCATCATTTGGTTATGGCTGCTTTCCACTTGACAGCCCGGGTCTTCTCACGTTGGCCTCGTAAGGTGGAAACAGCTGACAGACTCTCTCACGTCACCCCTCCCCTTCTCACTAGGATGAACTTGGGGCCTTGCCCATATCTCATGAGCACTCTACCACCAGGCTATATCCCCAGGGCTCTTTTCACTTTTTGTTTTGAGGAAGAATCTCACTATGTTGCCAAGGAGGCTGGCCATAAACTCATGATCTTTCTGCTTCGGCTTCCTGAGCAGTTGGGATTACAGGTCTGTGCCAGCAGGCTCGGACCTGGGAGTTCATCTCTGCTGGGTCCTTGTGCTCCTGTTTATCTCCTGCCTGGAAGAGTGCGCTGGTGGGAAGAGCCCTGGGTACCAGCTGAACAGCGCACCCACTGTCGTCATCTTTGGGCTTGGAGACCATTGGTTCCAAGGCAGCTGGCCAGACAGGGCTCATTGCACATTCCTGTGTCCTTTGGACCACAGATGTTCTTAAACTCCTGTTGCTTGGGTGCATGTGGCAAGCCTTGCTCACAGACTCTGTGTACGTCAGATGTCTCCATGCCTGCTCTTATGCCCCTCTCCACTTTTCAGTTTGCTGCTCACCATTGATTCAGGTTTGAGCAGGCACAGAGCAGGCTCCCCAGAGTCTTCACCCCTCCCCTCCATTCGGGGCTTTTTCATCTACAGCTGCCTCCAAGGGCCAGGGGTTGCTGTCCTAATGAACTGGGCGTCTCTGGTGTCAGCCCACACCCATTTGTCCAGTGTCAGGATGAGAGATCAATGAGCAAGAGTTGCTCTGACCCAGCTGCCATCCAAAATCTCTCTGTTCCACAGCTGTTCTTGGCCCCCTTCCCCCCAATTCTGCATTCCAACTCATGCATCATGGGGTATGGAGTAGGGATGTTGTCAACAACGGGCTTGTCTTCTGATACTCCAAGCCCTCCCTTTTTTCAGTGCTTAAGATTTCAGGGTACCTGTGCACCTGTTTTGTGGCTTCTAGCTTCCCAGGTCAGAACCCAGACCACAGCCCTGGCTCCTGGGTCCCTGTGTCTCCACTCTTCATTCTAAAGTTTTTCCCAGCCTCAAGTTCAGAACGACTAAGCCTATGTGGTGCTCTGGCCAGCAGAGGGCAGCTGGTGGCCCTTGGGTCCAGAAGGTGGCTCAGGCCTCCGGGCTATGTGACTCCTCTGGGGTCCTATGCAGAGGTGGCTTGAGGCAGCTCCTAGAATCCACAGTGAATCCATGTAGGTAAATGTCATTTTAGAGGTCTAAGGTCAAAAGGCATGGACCATGAGGATATGGCTCCATCTGTCACTAGATTTCACCCACTACAGCGGAGGGCTGGGCTCATTGAAAATGGAGGAAAGAGGGCCTGGTCTGTGTCCACAGAGCTGTTCTAACAGGAATGTGAGGTGGCCCATCCTGGGCTGAGGCCAGCCATGGTCATTGTTGTGGCATTAGTTGGTGTAATTCCATGTCATGTCACCTTTCAGTGCTGATACAGAATGAACACAGATTGGTGGTGCACAGCTGCTGTCTGCTGGATGCCTAGCACGCGCTGGTCACTCCCTGAGGACTTTCAGACCGTCCTTTTCCAGCAGCAGAAACAAGGCTAGGGTCTTTGTCAATCCACTTCCAGATAAGGAAACTGAGGCACACAGAAGTCTGGGACGTCCTCAGAGGCCACTGGAAGAAAGGGTCGGGACCTTAACCTCCCTCCCTGCATTGAGTTCTTCCTGGCTGCAAAAACCGAGGGACTATTTCTGGAACAGGCAGGCGTGTTAGCATGGGAATGTGCTGGCAGGGGTTTGGACCTTTAGAGAAGCGAAACCAGACCTTTGAGAAATTGGCCAGGGAAAGGTTGGGATGTTTGTGTAGAAGGAGAAGTCAAGGGCCAGTGCAGGAACTACGGACACTGGGGGCCTCCCATGAGCCCCTGTCAGACAATCCTTAGATGAAGATGATGGATGGGAGCTCATCTAAGGCTAGTACACATACTCCCATGGGAGCTGCTTTCTTGACCGCCCCCACCCCCGCCCCGTGCCTTGCGTGTTTGTGATCACTCTTTTTTCTTACCTGCACAGGGGGCAGATGGCATCCGAGGTCTGAAGGGCACCAAGGGGGAGAAGGTAAGGACCTGTCCCTTCGAGGGTGGGCTGGCTCAGCTTGGTGCAGGACACAATGGGGTTGCCTCTGAATGTGGAGGGGAATGGATGCCTCCCTGAAGGAAGCTCACTTGTTTGTAAAAGGAGAACGAAGCTGCTGAGAACCATGGTACGGTTGCATCTCCCGGGCTGACCCAGAGCATCTAGTCTACCCCAGGAGGCACTTGGCTGTATTCACACACCTTCCTCCCCTAAGTCTCTCCCTGTGGGTCCGTCACTGGCGACAGCCCTCACGGTGGTCAGTTGTCGCCTGAGAGACCCAGCACTCCTGTGCAGAGTCCATCCAGGCCAGTTTTACAGTCCAGCCTCAGTGTCTAGAGCCAGGACATGTGAAGGCATGTCCAGCTCCGTGACTGTTCACACCAATATGTATGTCACACTGTAGAAAGTGGTGCTGCCTGCCGTGGTCAAGCCTGCTTATCAGGCCTACATGAGTTGTCTTGGTTAACACAAAGCTGAATAATGGCACCCTGAATGCGTGGAGTCAGGGTGCCCAACACCCGGCAGATGAGCTGCCCTGAGCCCCGTGGAACTGTGCAGCCAGCCTTTTTGTCTTTTCCATTGGGTGGGAGGCAGCCTGGCCCTTGGACGTTTTCTGCCTGTCTTGTGTTCCATCCTGTTGGGCATCTCCACTGCTGTTCAGGTGTAGCTAGTGGGTGTGGATGCCATTTGTGGCAGGCATGGAGCTCCCTGGGACACCGGGGTCTGAAGGCTGTGAGAACAGGGCCTGTCAAGCCTGAGCTCAGGCGCCTGGAAGATGTGCACAGCATAGCTTCTCACTGGGCACCTGTGGACAGTTTGCCTCCTTTCCCAAGTGCTGTGCTAGCCTGAAATCTATTCCAGGGCTATGGTCAGGAGCGGCATAATAACCCTGTGACCTACCTTGAGCCTGGGTGTGTGCAAACCACCTAGCCACCCTTTGAAAAGAGGAGGCAAAGAGGTCTTCCATTTTCTACTACTTCTAGAGCACATCTGCAGGGGCAGAGGAATGGATGTGTCTTCTGAACAATTCAGCCAAGAACACCTATATGTGGCCCTCAAGGGGGAAAGCAGGCCCTCTTAGGAGCAGACATCCACTTGCTCCCCAGAAGGACTCTTTCCAAGCCCTATGCCTCAGGTTTCTCATTCTGTTGGGGAGGGTCTTTCTTCTTCCTTTTTGAGGATGGTTTCCAGACTCTCAGCTTTACTGCTTTATCTAGTCTCGTTTGTCTTCCTGAGACAAGATGTGCCTCGCTACTTACTTTGAAGGATGTGACTAGGTTACTAGGGTATGTTATCTTACAAGAAAAGTTCCTGGTCCCCAAGTGGACTGAGAAACCAGACTAAGATGGTTCTAGGGAGAGGGATGTCTGAGGACCTGTGGCCCTGGCACAGCATGCATACTGCAGCAGAGGCCTAGGGGTGGATGAGAGGCACGGTGTCTACAGGCCTCCTGCGTAGGCACAATGCTTCCTCCCCGCACAGCTCCCCTGCTTCTGCCCTGACCGGGGGCTCTGTGTTGTGCAGGCCCGGTACAGTGGGAAGTGGTGCTTCGGAGTGGGATTCTCGGCAAACTCATGTATTGTCTTGTCTGTGTTCAGGGTGAAGACGGTTTCCCTGGCTTTAAAGGCGACATGGGGATAAAGGGTGACCGGGTAAGTGTTATGGGCCTCGGATTTGGGCCAGGGACAATTAGAGTGGGTTTGGGGGAGCTGCACGAAAGGCCACAGAGCAGCTCATCAGAAGGGAGGCAACACTTCTGCAAGATCCTGGTATGAAGCCAGAGTGTCTGAAGCTCAGGGTCCCTGTACAGTGCTCACTAGCCTGCTCCTCAGTGCCCACTCCAAAGCCAGGGCATCTCTCACCTGCGTTAACCCCAAGGACAACTGTGGCCACTCCTCCTTCACCCTGAGTGCTGGACAGGTGGCTTAGTGAGGACTGGGTACCCTGGATTACAGCGAAAATTGATTCCAGAGGATGAAGAGGAAAGGGGGACAAGATGGAAACCATCCAGACAGACCCATAAGCAAACCCTGCCCAAGACGTAGCAGATGGCTGGCAGGACCATGGCCTACTGAGGCTCTGCAGTCCGTGAATGATCCTGGTCCCCAGGATGCACCCAAGTCACTCTTGAAGCCCATGCCCTGCCATCTGGTGCTGGGTCATGGGTGAAGCCTCAAAGCCTGGCCACTTTCCTGATGGGTTGCTCATCCCAGCTCCAGAGAAAGCAGCTGCGGCAGGCGAGGGCATGGCTTGCTCAGGTGGGGGGTGCCCGCACAGCAAGCACAATGAACCAGAGGTTAACAGTGACACGAAGGATGGTTTCTAGGTGCTGACCTATCAAAGCCACCCACTAGCTCCTGCTGAGGAGTTTTCCCACAACTTCAGAATGAGTCAAAGCCTGACAGAAGGTGACACGCTGTGCCCCTGGTAGCCCAGCTGTTGCACACACCTGAATGTTGTCTATTGGTTAACTCAGGCCTGTTGTCCACTTCTGTAATTATTCCCAGAGCCAGCTCTGAAGGCATCTTTACTGAACATTGCAGAACAAGAGGGCCTACACACTTTGACACAACCTGACAGGGAATGTCTGAAGCCACCTGCGTGTCTGTCATAGGGAGAGAATAAAAAAGGGACTAGGTGTTCTGTTATGCTGCTGCTGAGGGTGGCTGCCACAGGTCTCCTCCAAGTGAAGGAGTGTCAGTGCTGAGGGGCTACCCTACATCAACAGCAAAAGTGCCTCTGACCCCTCCTCTCCCATGACTTGGCACACACAATTAGAATCCCCTTGACTGAGGCATGGGTGTGCTGGTGCATGCCTATAATTAATGTCATGAGACAGAGGCAGGAGGATAGGTATGAGTTTGCAGCCAGTTTGGTGTTTATAGAGAGACTCTGGAGATGAGATGGAGATAGATGATAGATAGATAGATAGATAGATAGATAGATAGATAGATAGATAGATA